GCAATCTGAAAATTCTATATTCATCACTTCTCTGTGCCTCTGCAACTACCGTAATTCGCCTAAAATGGGCACAACTTTTGTCATCCTCAAATTTAGTTAATATTTGTTAGTCACGCAAGAGAAGCAGAATCAGATAATCTCAGTACTGGAAGGAAACTCCTCTATCTCTTTCTCCTTATCGCAGTGCTGGAATTGGCTTCACAGGATTCTGTTCTCTGAGCCTGAGCCCGAGAGAGAATCAGGAGCTCTTCTGGGGCTCAGTGGTTGTCTGATCAAACACATGCCACTTCTCTCTTGGATTCATTTGACCTGTTTTTGAAACTTGGGAACTTGTTATTTGAAATGTAACCCTGAACATTGAAATAACTTATGTTAAGGAATTTCTTCCACCCATCAAAACAACAATTAAATTATGTAGGTACTTAGACTAATCTTGCTATTCACTTTGCCAACATTCTGGGTTAAAATTCATGAAAGCCTGTGACTGGTAACTCTGGGAGGGAAAGGACACAGTTTTACTTGCTAACCTGTTCATCTCTGATCTTCTGAGATAACGTGATTCTGCCCATTGATTTTTAAAATTGAGAAGAAACATCTTATATAGCTGGAGCTTTAAATTTGCAAGTAACAGAAATTGCCTCTGAATAACTTAAAAATATTTTTTAAGTTTATTTATTTTGAGAGAGAGCGAGAGAGCAAGTGCAAGTTGGGGAAGGGCAGAGAGAGAGGGAGAGAGAGAATCTCAGGCAGGCTCCACACTTTCAGTGCAGAGCCTGTTTTGGGGCTAGAACTCATAAACTGTGAGATCATGACCTGAGCCCGAGTTGACGCCTTAACCTATTGATCCCCCCAGGCGCCCCCCTCTGAAAAACTTATACCAGAAAAGGAAGAAGAGGGAACATCTGAGAAGTTGGGTCAGAGGAAGGCAGCCCTCAGGGGAGCCCCAATGACTTCATCCTCAGGAAGGTTCTTGCAGAAAGCATCCTCTCCCAATTTTGGCTCCCGTTCTCACACTGGCTGGATACACTGGGCATCTTTTGGCAGCTTGGAGCTTCTTCTGTTTTCAGGCTTATTGGGAGCCCCGTTGCCTTCTTTGTTTTTGCCCACAAATATACGGACTTAAGTCTCAGAGCTATTAGTGGTTTCTTCTGCCCATTCACTTTTTGGGTTTGTTGTGATGTTTTCCCTGGTGGCGAGTGGTACTCAGGTTTGCTCTCTACCTCGTGCTGTCATTTTTTTAAATGGGGAGAGTTAAGGAGATTCGAAAATTATATCACTGCTACTGTTCTCTCAGAATTTTCTCTTGTCTGTTTTTCAGTCTACTGAATCTTGAGTTCCATTCCATTTTGTTCCCATTATTATTTATTAAAAAAATTTTTTTTACCATTTATTAATTTTTGAAAGAGATGGCATGAGCGGGGGAGGGGCAGAGAGAGGGAGACAGAATCTGAAGCAGGCTCCAGGCTCTAAGGTGTCAGCATAGAGCCTGATGTGGGGCTTGAACTCATCAACTGTGAGATCTGTGACCTGAGCTGAAGTTGGATGCTTAACTGACTGAGCCACCCAGGCACCCCTGTTCCCAATTTATTTATTAGGAAATTTGCTCTTAAGTGATCTTACAAGAAATTTGTTGCTGTTATATGTCCCTCTGGTTTTGCTCATCCTCTCTAGTAGATCACTGTGTTCTATTTTGTATATTTGTTGTATAATTTCCTGCTTATGCTTTCCTTAGTTTTCTTTTATTTTTAATTTAAAGTCTTGACTTAAATGTTTAGCTCATTTATTTTCAGTTTTTTCTTTTTAACATAAACATTTAAAGTTATAAATGTTCCTGTAAGTAGTATGTTCACTTTATCTCAGAAGTTTTGATATTTTTCCATTATTTGATCGATTTTCCGGATGCCTGGCTGTAGAACATGTGTCTTTCAGTAGAGCGTGTGACTCTTGATCTGAGTTCTATTCCCTATAACTTGAGTGTAGAGCCTACTTTAAAAGAATATATATGTGTGTGTGTATGATATATTCTAATTTAATTTCCATATGATTGAAGAAAATGGTGTATATGATATTGATTCTTTGGGATTTTTGAGATTTGCTTTGTGGTTTACTTTGTGGCCACTTTTTGTAAATGGTCAGTGGGTGCTTAAAAGGAATATGTGAATTCACGTTCATATAACAGACATAAGGGTCTCATAAGGGTCTGTGTATTGCATGAGATCAAGTAAATTTTTGAGCCTCTATTCTTAAAAAAAATGTTTTTTAATGTTTATTTTGAAGGAGAGACAGAGCATGAGTGGGGGAGGGGCTTAAACACCTGAGTCACCCAGGTTCCCTGAGCTCCTATTCTTTGTCTGCTTGGTTTTGAATTCCTGAAAAAGACTGTGTCTTTTTATAGCAATAACTGATACTTATATGGTATTTACTATATTCCAGGCACTATTTTAAGGGCCTTACATGCATTAACTTACTGTGTTGGTCATTTTTTCCTCAGATCTGTTACTTGTACTTTTTATGTTTTGAGACTGGGTACTTCTTTTTTTTTTTTTTTTAATGTTTTATTTATTTCTAGGAGAGAGAGAGAGAGACAGTGTGAGCAAGGGAGGGTCAGAGAGAGAGGGAGTCACAGACTGAAACAGGCTCCAGGCTCTGAGCTGGCAGTCAGCACAGAGCCCGACGTGGGTCTCGAGCCCACGAACCGTGAGATCATGACCTAAGTGAAAGTCAGACGCTTAACCAACTAAGCCACCCAGGCGCCCCAGAGACTGGGTACTTCTGTCAGTAGGTACCTAACACCTGGTGATTGGAGTCTCTTATCATTTAGTATTGACCTTATTTATCTCTAACAAGATCTTTAACCATAGAGTGCTTCCCTCTCTCCCCACCCTCGAAATTGATGTAATTACATAGACTTTTCCTGTAGTTAATATTAGCTTGGCATGTCCATTTCACCCACCTTTGTGTGTCCTTTTATTTGAAGTGTGTCTCGTAACAGCTTATGAGTGGATTTTGGTTTTACCCAAGAGTAGTGGTCCAGTGTGATAGAGTAAGAGCTTAAAGGCCAGATTGCTTGGGTTTGCATTGTTGCCAGAGTTGTTGATACGTAACCGCTACAATTCTGTACTTGGGGATGGCAGGCATTTTGGCTTCCCTTTATTTAGATTTTAACCTCTCCTCTGGTTGGATGCTCCATATCTGGCCCTTGCTGTCCCAGAGTATACCAGGGATATTTAGGTTCTGATTCTCTTTAGGATTCTGTTTTTACCCTTTCAGTATCGCCTGCCATGTTTCCTTCGTTTCCACTATGTCTTTTTATCTTTTGAAAAATCTATTGGAGTATTCCTAAAGTAGTCACAATAAGACTGCTTACTTATAGGGCTATTTGAAATTAAGTGTAAGCTACAGAAAAAATCTTTGAATAGTACCTGGCACATTAGAAGTGCTTAGAAGGATTTGTTTTTGTTTTCTCATTGATATTTAACTTACACTTTGACTTTTTTTTTAAAAATGTTTTATTTATTTCTGAGAGAGAGAGAGAGACAGCATGAGCAGGGGAGGGTCAGAGAGAGAGGGAGATACAAAGTCTGAAACAGGCTCCAGGCTCTGAGCTGGCTGTCAGCACAGAGCCCGACGCGGGGCTCGAACCCACAAACTGTGAGATCATGACCTGAGCCGAAGTCGGACGCTTAACCGACTGAGCCACCCAGGCGCCCCACAGTTTGACTTTTTAAAGTTTTGGCTATCCTAAAAGTATCCACAGTCTTTCCTGCCTTTTATTTGTCACTATTAATTTTATCATCAGATTTATTTATTTTTTATTTTATAATTCAACCTTTTATTCATTTTTGCATTTTTCTTACACAAGTGATTTGGGGGGATGAAACTTTGGAGAATCTCAATTCTGCACGTCTAAAGTAGTAACAGCATTTAATGGAATTTTAAAATCATTTTCCAGAATGGGATATTCATAATTACACTATATGATAAGTTAAGACTTATACAATTTTCTTTATACTTGAAGAGTATAAGATACTTTCAATGCAAGTAGTTCCTGGGACTGAATTCTATATTTCATGTGGAGAGATTAAAATCTCTATGAAGCAGAACTTCTGGTCTCCATGGGAACCTGATTTTAATTCATTTTTTTAAATTAAAAAGGACATTAATGGTGGTGATGGTCGCACAACAAATGAATATACTTAATGCCATTTGCTAAAAAGCAAAATTCAACTGAGTAAACTTTAAAGATCTTATTGGCTTTATTCAGTGGTTCATGAATTAGGCGGGATCCAGTGTAGCAGACAGAAAGTAGCCCTGAGATGCTGTACGAAAGGAAGACTTGTTTAGGCAGAAGGTGGCAGTTATAGGAGATGAAAAAAGTGAGTTGGTTCCTGCAGGTCACTTTCATTGGAGGAGAGCGGGGGTCTATCAGGAGGGTCACCTAACTAGTCATCGCTGGTTGACTGGCTTAAGCATCCACTTTTGGGGGACTCAAAACTGTATAAGTTTCACACATGATATGGCGCTAAGCATAAGTGACTCCATTTTGCTTCTGAAATTATCTTTTTTTTTTTTTAAATGTTTATTTGAGAGAGAGCGCAAGAGAGAGAGCGCGCGTGCACACAGGTGTGGGAGGGACAGAGAGGGGAATAGAGGATATGAATGGGGCTCCATGCTGTCAGCATAAGCAGGGCTTGATCTTGCAAACCTTGAGATCATGACCTGAGCTGAAGTCGGGCACTTAAGCATCTGAGCCACCCTGGCACCCCTTGAATTATCTTTTTAACACGCTGAACTATACACTTAAAAATGTTTAAAGTGTAAATTTTATATATATTTTACCACAGTTTTAGAAAAGAGAACATTAGTATGTCCATGTCTCACATTGAGGATGAAAGAAGAGGTTCATCAGGTAAAAATCTAAATCTTAAGGGATCATACAGATGGAGTGAGCAGAACATACTGGTGTCACTCATTTCCTAATGGGAATTTTTTTTTAACAGGAAGGAAAAACTGATGCGATGCTCTCAGTGCCGAGTTGCCAAATACTGCAGTGCCAAGTGCCAGGTAAGAATGTTCCTCTGTGTAAGTGAAACCCTAAGTTCGCTGCTCTTTTTTTTTTTTTCTTTAAAGAATTTTTAAAAAAATCTTTATTTTTGAGAGAGGGAGAGTAAGACACAGAGTGTGAATGGGGGCAGGACAGAGAGCGGGAGACACAGAATTGGAAGCAGGCTCCAGGCTCTGAGCTGTCAGCATAGAACCTGATGCAGGGCTTGAACTCATGAACCGGGAGTTCATGACCTTAGCTGAGGTTGGATGCTTAACCGACTGAGCCACCCCGGCGCCCCAGTTCTCTGATCTTAAATTTGTGCTCTGTGATGCCCATTGACCTGTTTCTGTTTCTTCACAATCTTTGATTTATTTTAACTTATTTACCTTCAATTTAAAAATTAATACATGTGTATGGCAAAAAAATCACATATATATGCTCTCTCTCTATAAATTAAATACACAGGATACATATATCACACACAGATGTTCACTCCTGTCTTCGTGTCCTCCTGATCTCAGTCCCAGTGCCCAGGATAATCGCCGTTAAGTTTCTTCTGTGTCTTTGCAGCATTTTCTCATGCAGACACATTCATGTATTTCTCTTCTTTGTTAAAAATCCAGATATGGGTTATTCTTGTATACTTTTATTCTCCTTCTCATTTTATAAACTGCCTAGAGGAACTTTTGGTACCATCCCATTGATTCCCTTATATGAGTGCACCATTGTCACAATTTCCTCAATAAGGAGTACTTAAATTATTTTTGGAGCAAGCCTCTTTTTGTGCACATTTCTGCACACTTCCACAAATTAGTTGTAGGATAAATTCTTCCTAGTTTTATTGATTAGTAAAAGCAAATATGATTTAGGGTTTTTGGTTTTTTTTAATATTTTGTTTATTTCTGAGAGAGAGAGAGAGACAGCATGAGCAGGGGATGTTCAGAGAGAGAGGGAGGCACAGAATCCGAAACAGGCTTCAAGCTGTGAGCTAGCTGTCAGCACAGAGCCTGACGTGGGGCTCGAACCCACGAACCATGAGATCATGACCTGAGCCAAAGTTGGACATTTAATCGACTGAGCCACCCAGGCGCCCCTGGATTTTTAAAGATAGTGCCAAATTGCCTTCCAAGAGTTTAATTTACAGCAGCTGACAGTCTATGAGAATACTGCCGTTAATAGCTTTGAAATTCTTTACAGGATGTATAACTAACATTCAACATAACCTTTTCTTCTAATCTTATGATTAATCATTTCATAAGAAATGTAATTATGCTGTAACGAATTGCATCACAATAAAAAGTCTAATTGGAGGTTTTGTGTCTGTGTCCCTTGCTCTCAACCTTCCACCCATTTTTTTGTTTCTTATTTTGAGGTAGGTGTGTGTGGACACACACACACTCTCTCTCTCTCTCTCCCTCCCTCCCTCCTCCCTCAGAGTTCTGCTTTTCCTTTTACGTCTAAGCCATGCTTATCTGAGGAATTTTTGCTTTATCATTATGATTAGGTATAGTTTTCTGTTTCCTACTGTATTCATTTTTTTCTGGCTTTTGTTTCATTTTTAATAAGGGTGCACGCTGTCCCCAAGGAACACAAAACAAAAACACAAAAATAGAAGGTTAGAAGTAACACTTAGCTAAAAAAAAAAAAAAAAAGGAATGTGAAAAAACGGTTGGGTTATTTTTACCTTCTTTGTAAAGCAAAGATTCTGTCACAGAAGGCTACTAGATTTATGTAAGATTATTAACAATAATAATAAGAAAAAGCAAAAAAAATGAAACCCGTGCTTTTTTTCTACAAGATAAATTCTAGATCGACTGTTTTGTGGTGATGTTATCAAGCTTAAATGTGAACTGAGCTGTGTTTCAGGGAACTTCAAGTTAAGACTGTACTGTACGTAGAACTGATGGGTTACATTCTACTTGACACACATCTTCTGGATGAACTTCCTTTCCGATCTCAGTGACCTAAACATTTACTTTTTTTTCCCCCATTTTTATGAATGTTTTTTCTCCACTGCTCCTTCCCCCTTTTGTAGTACACTCAAAGAAGAAAATCCATTATCTGATTAGAACGAGTAGAGGGGGTTTGGTGGGTTGGTATGTCATTTTGATTCATTATAGTCCATGTACTTTTACCACATATATTACCTGTTTACTGTAACATCAATAATAATGTCATCGTCAGATGTACTGTAGAAAGTAATGGGGAAAGAGCTAGTAAGATGAAAGATACCATATACAAGCCAGCTAGTGCATATGCTTGTATGTGTGTGGGGGATGGGATGTGTGCAGAGGTGGGGTGGGAGTCAGAGATTGGCCAGAACATATGCATTTAAACTGCTCTGTTTAGCTCACCCTTCAGGTACAGAATTAAATGTTGTAATTATTGTGGATTCCTACAAAGCAGCACAAAATTAAATTGACAAACCGAACTATGAACAATAATGAACAGGAGACAGACGCCCTCGGAATGGAAATTGATATGGAGGATGTGAATTTGTAGCATAAAATCTATAATGTATTTACCCTGGAGGGACATAACTTTGGTTCATTATATTAGCATTTGATGTGTGGGGCCGTGGCGTCAGTGAGTTGTCTGAGAGGCTGTGGAGCTTTCCAAGGTATAATGTCCCTCGTGCCCATAAGGATGTTTTCAGTGTCACTGGTTTTCACATTTCATTTTTAAACCGAAAAGTAAAATAACAAGAGTGAATATTTCTTCCAGCTTCCTTTCCATTCCTGCTTCGGTTTTCCAGAGGTAATCTCTGTGTGTTTGTTTTGTGGGTGGAGGATACACACCCCACTGTTAGTCTGTACTTTGTGTCTAGTGTACACAGATATGTATATACTGACTGCTGTGTTCAGTGCTGTTTCCCATCCTGCCCAAAGTATCTTGTCATCAGGGGCTTTGTACACCTGTGTGTATACCTTACCATGTGATGTGTCATACAATGCAAGAGAGGGCTTATCTGTGGGAACCAGTCTTATTTCTCTGTTGTCACTAACAGAACATCACAGGTGATTTTGAGATCAAAGAGGAGGAGCAGGCGAAGTTTTCTTTTATTTCTTCTTTTTTTTTTTAATTTTTATTATTTTCCTATAATTTATTGTCAAATTGGTGTCCATACAACACTCAGTGCTCATCCCAGGCCCTCCTCAGGCCCTCCTCAGGCCCATCACCCACTTTCCCCTCTCCCTCATCCCATCAACCCTCTGTTCTCAGTATTTAAGAGTCTCTTATGGTTTGCCTTCCTCCCTCTCTTTTTTTTTTTTTTCCACCTTCCCCTCCCCCGTGGTCTTCTGTTAAGGTTCTTCTGATCCTTATATGAGTGAGAACATATGATATCTATCTTTCTCTGACTGACTTATTTCACTTAGCATAATACCCTCCAGTTCATCCATGTTGCTTCCAATGGCCAGGTTTCCTTCTTTCTCATTGCCAAGTAGTATTCCATTGTGTATATAAGCCGCATCTTCTTGATCCGTTTGTCAGTTGATGGACATTTAGGCTCTTTCCATGATTTCGCTATTGCTGAACGTGCTGCTATGACCACTGGGGTACATATGCCCCTGTGCATCAGCACTCCTGTGTCCCTTGGGTAAATTCCTAGCAGTGCTATTGCTGGGTCATAGGGGAGTTCTCTTGTTAATTTTTTGAGAAACCTCCACACTGTTTTCCAGAGTGGCTGCACCAGTTTGCATTCCCACCAACAGTGCAAGAGGGTTCCCATTTCTCCACATCCTCGCCAGCATCTAGAGTCTCCTGATTTGTTCATTTCTAAGTTTTCTTTTAAAAAAACATGTTCAAAATTTGCAGTATTGTTATAAAGTAAACCAATTTCAAGCAAATTCACCAATAATTATTTTACCTATGCTGGATTTAATTTGAGTCATAAATGTACATTTCTAATTGAAATAAATGCTGAGCCAAATGAGCAGGGATATTATATCAACTGCAGTTTATACACTTGTAAAAGTACTATATTAGCAGAGACAGGCTCTATTTCATGTTAATAATTATAGACCACTTTAAAAATGTGAATCTTATTTGTGGGTTTACATTTTATGCTTAGTTACAGCATGATTTGACTCATTTTTGATGAATTTCACATTAGTCAACACTTTAACAGGGTGATTAAAAAATTTTTTTTACATATTTTATTTATTTTTGCGGGAGAGAGAGAAGGACGGACAGAGTTTGAGCAGGGGAGGGGCAGAGAGAGATGGAGACACAGAATCCGAAGCAGACTCCAGGCTGTGAGCTGTTAGCACAGAGCCTGACGTGGGGCTCGAACCCAGTAACCACGAGATCATGACCTGAGCCATAGTGGGATGCTTAACTGAGCCATGCAGGCGCTCCTTAATAGGGTGATTTAATAAGTTGCAGTCTAGAATAATATACTCAATACTGGCAATAATGAAGAAAGCCAGTCCCTTAGTTATTTCGTAAATAGTTCTGTGTCAGGCTTCAGACTGATAGGACATGCATCGAGTGTTCTGTAGAGAAGTGGGCTCACATCTATATTGTAAATAAAAAGAGAATACTGTGTGAAGGTTGAAATTATATGTTCCTATTTAAGTTTTTGACTTGTGCAATGTCTGGGGCCCTAAGCTTGTCTTTGCTCACTTTACGTTGACCTGCTGCGTAATCCCATCAGCTCCCACACCATCGGTTGGCATCTGTATATTAATCTTCCTCTAAACTCCCATCTCCAGCGCCCTGCTTTCTCTCCTCCACCAGCTGCGTACCTTACGGGGTATGTCTGCATGATGCACCAACGTCTCAAACGCCCTGTAGCTGGACCTGAGTGCGCTTGCTTCGCCCAAACCTGCCTTTCCAGTTTCAGTGAATAATGTCACCAATTCCCCGGCAGGTTGAGTTTCCAGGGCGTCGTTGTCTTTGGCTCATTTCCTTTCTTGGCCCCATTCCCGGTTAATCACTCTGTCCTGCTGATTTTACCACCTGATGATCTAAACTGGCCCCTTCTCTCTAGCTTCTCTGCCACCACTCGTGTGCA